ACAGGAAACCAAGTGTGACATGCCAGCTCCCACCAATCCTGCTTGGGAGGCGGCGCTGATCTGGAATAATCCTTCGTGATGGCGGTAAGTTTGCTGCACCCCCCACACCTACCAGTTCTCTCCTAGAGGGGCCGGCATTGTCTTTTCCATAGCAATATGCCCTCACTGACGAGCGAGTACACCTGCTCCGGGGACATAAGCCTAGTGACAGAGCACAGCACCAGGCCCTCTGACCGCCACTGGACAGGCCCAGACGCCCGAGTAAGACTTGCAAATACGCAGCTGAGCACCGACGTCAAAGAAGCCGGAGACGATCACAGTGCTGACGGCGGCCTCTTGGGATGAAAACCAGAGACACCAGCCGCCCTGGATGCGCGGGGCCCTCCAGGGGCGTGGTGGGCCTGACCACGGGCAGAATAAAACCTCACAGGCCGAAGCTCACGCACAGCGCGCCTCACACGGAGGATGTGTCTGTGGGCCCCTCGGACCCCCTCTAAGGCTTCATGTTTAAACTCCACGGACGAGAGGGGGTTTGGTTCTGAGCCTCTTGGCGTGTGAGGAGCACTTTTGCGTCAACTGTTTTTCGGAGACGCGTGATAGGAGTTGTGCTTAAAGAAATCTCTCTTGCTGAGAGTGTTACACAGGTCCCCCTTTGTGCCCCCAAGCGTTGTGCTTTCTGGGTCAGTTGATAGTGGAGGAAAAACTAGGCCCAGGGGACGGGCAGGGGTCTTACGGGAAAGCCGTGCGTACGGGAAAGCCGTGCGTCCCAGCTGAGAGCCGCCGGAGCTGACGGGGCTGGGCGCTCCCACGGCAGGACTGTGGTTCCTCCTCAGTTGTGTCCCCACCTCCCCCCGGGCCCCGTGGATGCTGTGCAGGACGAGGCCCCCACCCCCCACCCCCTGCAGCCCATTTTACAGGGTTGTCCCTGGCCTCAGAGCAAACATGAGCAGAGTCACTTCTCCAGCTTCTACCTATTGGGACCGGCTCTGCTGTGGAAGCGACATGAACTACGTGAACCGACCACGGCTCCTTAGTGCACTGGCTTCCCTGACCATCCTCAGTCCAGGAGGGCCGGGCAGCTGGGCAGCTGACAGATGTCCCACCACAGCAGACGGCGCGTGTCAGAAAGGGGGGAGAACAAGGAGAGAGGAGGGTGGGAAACGAGCTTCCAGGTGCGTTTCCATGGCCCCGCGCACGCCTCGGAGAGCCCGCAGCGCGGCGGGGGGCCCAGCAGCGAGGTCCAGAGGGACGCCTTCGGGCTCCCACACAGTGTCCTCGGGACAGCTTTCCGCAGGACGGGCAGAGGTGCCCGGAGGCTGAGGTCAGCCTGACTAGCCACAGGGGTCCCCCCAGACGAGTCCCGCGGGACGGCCTGAACCACACGCATCACATCTCCTGGAAAACGGCCACAGCACAGCCAGGGGCCTTAGGCCAGAGCACCAGGTAGGAAAAGCAGTTCTCAAACAGCGAGGCTTCGGCGCCGCATTCCCTGCTGCAGGTCTGGCTTGATCAGAGGTATGTTCCAAAGGCTCAATCGAATGTCCTGGAAGTAAATTTCCTTGAATGTGGGAAGCTTTTGATAAATATTTTAGGGGAGCTTTTGATAAATATTAAGTTTTTGATTATGGAGATATACACTTAATGCCAGACACTGTTCTAAGCATTTTGTATCTACCATGTCATTTAATATTCATAACAGTCTTATACCGTGTTACTATCATAGTCCCTATTTTAAAGACGGGGAAGCAGAAGCGCAAAAATGAAGACCGCTAGCAGTGGGTGGAGTCAGGATT